ACAACCAACTCCGCAAGGGATTCCGTCTCAGACATCAAAGTTGACTTTGTTGAGGCGGGCATCTCATGGGCGTCCGCTTCTAGTGCTGCTGCCGACGCGTTCGCCTTGTCCTCAGCTTTGCGGTTACCGGTGCCATTGTTGGAACCGACCCCGGTCTTGAAGAAGCTGCTGTTGCTGGAGATAGAGCGCAGGAGTGCTGCGTTTGTCTCCGATTTCACAACCAACTCCGCCAGCGACTCTGTCTCAGACATCAATCCTGACTTACTGGCGCTACGGTCGCATCCTGTTGCTGAATACGGTTGGTTGCGCGGGGGGTACGGTTCTGTTGCGCCGCCAGAGTCCGAACCTTGTTGGACCATCCGTGTCGCTAGGTGAGATGGATCTTTGTTCGCGATATGCAAGTGGGATGACGGCGAATATTGAGCTCGCTCCTGGTCGCAGCGTTGTTGGTCTTGCCATCCATCCTTCGAGCTAGCTCGAACGAAAGCGGCCAGGTCCTACGTGCGACATTGGTTCAAAGGTAGGTGTAGCAAAGCGGCCAAAATGGAGAACGACAACATTCGCGACATAGATTGATTTATGCATGATTTGTCACTTGTCGCGAAGATAGTCGCAACGAACTGCAGTGGGAGGCGACGCTGAATGAGAAGACGGCGGGGCAAGAATGCACGAGCAAAATACGTGTACCTCCGTCATGGTTGGAAGTTTCCTTATGAGGTACGCAACTACTCATCGCCATTCTTAGCTCACGATAATGTCGGCACAAACAGTAGCAAAGCTACCGGATAGTCTGACCTTCCCCGGGAATAACATCTATTGGACCATGAGTATCCTCCTTGAACGGATACCCACAGAGAATAGTAGTGTGTGGTTGAATACCGCTGAGTGTCAGCACACACCACGCCCACCGCACGTGCGTGCTTCCTTCTAAGAAGTCAGACGGGAGGCCGCCCCCATTATCATCACCCCGTCTCACTGCCCCAAAAGCCCAGGACGCTTTCCGACAGGTCTGTGGTCCCTTTCCACTGAGGATTATCTGGGCTCTGTCACGTCATTAGAATTTCCCGCATGCACCTTCATCTCCGGATACTACCGGCTTCAAGGCTTTCATCTCTCGATCTCATCAATTGTATCTTACGCTCCACTCGTGAACCTCCGCACAGAATCGACATTCAGCTGCCTATGTTTCATCGGACCAATAATGTGAAGCGTTCATTGGCACGCGATTCATTGTGGTGTTGACCTTGGATACATCTCTGCGAATTTTTATTGAATTTTATTCCTGCTTGGATCCAAACCGACTATGCAACAACAGTACCACTTACCAAATACCGACGAGGGCATGGCGTCCGTAATGGACGGGCCGTGGTTTGTTTTATGAATTTACCTCTAGGCCTCTCGCACCGACTGTGGATAGTGTGGAGTCAGACATGGCAGGTTAAATACATGTTCTTTTCGTCCTCCTGCTGCTCCTCCTCCTGCTCCTTCTCCTCCTTCTCCTCCTCCTTCCCTGTCGGGCGCCGGCAACGTTACAAGGGTTGTCTGCGTATGAAAGCGTCGCAGATGGACAGCGCTGGAAGGAACGAACACCATGGCGAACGGCTTGTGTGGCATAATCGTGTCCCCTGCCTGATCTAATAATGAGAGTCCCTATTGCCAGGAACACGACAAATCCGATGTTTATTTTCATCGCGACGGCAAGGGCAGGAGAAAAACGTCAAGTGATTATGATAATTTCGGTAGTGCCTCTCCCACAACGCCAAGAGAGGGGTCGCAACTTGTTTGGTTCGGAAGAATCACTCGTCAAGAATCTTCAAAGGCGAGGTGGCATCAGGCGCCTACCATGTGACTGTAAAAGCTTGATGGTTATGGCGACAACCTCATGCGCGGGGGCAAAGACGACAAAGCGAATGAGTAGTGGATCAACTCATACGAGTCGGGCGTTGATAGACGCGTAGAACCAACGCGATCGGTGCGCCAACGCCATCCGCTGCAAAGGAGGGCGCCGGAGCTGTCACACCGCATGCAAACCGTCTCCTTCCATGTTCAACCCCCCGAGTTGCCGACCATGTCTCGACTCGGCACTAGAGAGAGCCACGGCCCTTGTTTTCCGAAGAAACATCCTCCTCATTGCCATACCATGTGCATTTCATTGTGACTACTGTAGCGAGTCGTATACAGTGGAACGTTAGCTTGTGAGAAGGAGCCCTCGGAGTTAAAGGAAGGAAGGCTAGCCATAGTGATCGCTTGCACATTTGGAGAGCATTGGAGAGTCAACTCGTCATTGGCACAATATAGAAGCCGAAGTGCACCTATATAAAGCGGTGTCCAGGTGAGCAACGATTGTCAAAGTCCTTGTGGATACCCTGGAAAAGCCTTGTAACATGTTGTGGGTGTCCATCAACTTAGATACGTAGACTGCAGACGCACAACCAAGAGGTGAAAGTTGTTCGCTTCCATTTGCTTGTTTCCTGCGGGGGAGGCGACGGCCAGGGGTCCGAACGGGTGTCGGAGGAATTCGCCAAACATGGTATAGTTGAGCCTACAATATATCCGCTTTGTGACGTTTCTACGTTTCTTACCTTGGGGCCGATCTTGTCAGTTTTCGCAGGTTATTTTCTATCCATGTACGCTTTGTTGATTAAGGTTCAATGCTTCGTATTTCCGCGCGTCAACCGGGGATCCCTTGTAAAAAAACTACTTCTGATTTGTCGTCTGAGTCAAGACTGGACAGAAACGAAAATAGAACAAACTGCTTCAGTCTAGACTATTTCTTGAATACCCACTTTGGTCGCCCCGGTGGTCTACAGTGGTCGTCCTTGCAGTAAAGGCAGGTTGTGCGTTCAGTTCTTTCCAGACTGTTGCTTTTCCTTACAACTTGGACTGCAAAGTAGAAGCCGATAACTTTCGTTAGTCAACATGGTCGACGAGGGAAAGGGGCAGCTGGATCCTTCCCGAATGGCAACTACATTCGAGGCAAGGACAGCCCAGACCTGTGATGTGCATGTGTAGGGGTAATGCAAAAGAAAACATCCTGTATGGCATTCCTCCTGCGTGCTCCCGGCCGATACGTCTTGTACCGCAAGATGTGTAGCCTGGCGCCAGAATGTGGGATGCATCAAGTGTAGATGCATACATTCTTTGGTCCAGGATCTTGATGGTCGACAGGCCCCCTCTGTAAATACTGTAATACCAGAGGGAGTGTACGCCATCACCTCTTACATGCAGTGCATGGCGTGAAGCAGGGAGGGAGAGCCATATGGGCATGGTTGCGACGGATTCGATGCATTGCGTTCACATCTCAGGTTTGCGTTCCAAAGTAAAATCTATGCCGCGAGCCCGAGGGGTTGTTGCCTGGCAACCTTGTGTGAACCTGCGGATCGTCACGTCTGGATGCTGGCGGCATGTCAATTAAGTATTGGTTTGGTGCGTAGCGGTCCTCTCGAACAGAGGCCTACCGCACCTGACCGATCTTCATCATGTACTCACCTGGCGGCAACAACAGCTGGGCGCGTGTGTGGTGAGTGGCGATAGAAGCAGGGAGAGCCGCGGTTTCATCGAGGTGCGGCGTGTCTAGGGTGCGGGAGCGCTAGCGGGAGCGGGAGCGGTGGAACTGGATGCGGCGCAACAGGGCGCGGCGCGCGGCGGAACTGGGCCATCGGGGATGTCGCTTGCCCCTCGCAGTTCGCGCATAGTTGGGAGGGCAAACAGAGTAAAATCGCAAGGAAACTTACAAGAAACAATCCACACAAGAGGCAGGAAGTACGGACCTCACGCCTTCCAAGGAAGCTGTTGAACTGGGCGGCCCGGGCGTGGCAGGTGTGATGCGCTCAAACACGACGGCATACCACATGTACATCGTCTATTGCTGTACAGGTCGCAATTTTCAGAAAAATAACAAGTACACGTCGAGTCTTCGTGAAATGTACCGCACAGCTGCATGTCACGCCGTCTTCTCGTCCCATGCCCACACCCAGATGTTGTCTGTCTAATTGGTCTACTGTATGCCTTGTTGTACATCTCGTCAGGAACAACATCGCCGTACACTCCCCAACCCGGCACGATGTGTTTGTGTTCAACACTAATGCGTCCAATAGGATCGACAACGTGGAGTCTAAGACACCCTGCACGAAGTGCTTGGCTGCGCACAGATTTCGGAATCTACGAGGCCAGTGCCGACATTATTGCATGGAAACTCCCTTTTCTCGACTGATTGCGGCATCACGCCCCCTCCCCCCAATGCTCAATTCTCCGTGGATAAGAACGACCGTCCAATTCCCCAGTTCGTGTGCCAAAAACGCAGCACGAAACGATGCCAACATCGGCACGCCGTTCTGATTAACGGCAAATACGTCTCATTTCTGTAGAAGGAGGGGGGTCTTTCAAGTCCATAAGAATCTTCGATATCGAACGGACGATCGACTCCCTGCGCCAATCATGCATATAAATACAACAGTAACGACAATAAATGATAGAGAAAGAACAGGACCATGGACAAGAGGCATGGAAGATGCCGCCAAAGTGCCGTTTTGCCTGACCATCCAGGCTACGAGGTTCTAATATCAACAAGAGCCCAATAGGAAATTCCGCAACCACGTTGTTATGCTTCTACTCGTCGAAAACGTCGCGGCATGGGAAGTTGATGTGGTGCGCACCACCCTCAACCCTCAACCGTAGACTAGGCAGGCTTTCCGATCATGCATTGGCGCGAGCTGGCAGTTCTCTCTGCTCCGCGCGGCGCATTTGACTGTAGCAGTGACTTCTTCCTACTGCTGGGTGTCTGAAAAATATCACTTAGGTACGTTGTCCATACCGGGGTGAGAATTGCACGTGTTCTTTATTTCGTCGAGACGTCCCTTGTTATAGTATGTCCTACCAACGCATTCGCATGCTCAGCAGGTGGAATCTGCGGAGTTCGAGCCGCCCCTTTTCCCCGAATATCGCCCTTGACGGAATGGCACTCCCACAACAAAAACTGTAAGGATTTTTTCATTCAGAGCATGGTGGGAGAGGTGAGCCTAGATCAGAAAGTCACCGATGGCTGCAGACGACGGGTGGGTAACCATCGACAGACTCCAATCGCTGCTTTCGCCAAGCGGGTCCACCGATGTGCTCCGTTAGGGCTTATGGTCGTCGAGCCAGACTACGTGGAAGGTTTTTTACCTGCACCCTTGAGACCAAAAAGGTGAACGTTCGAGTACCTGGAAATCATGCCCACATTAATACAGTTTTTTTATTATCTGGTTGTGAGAAGGTAAGTGTCCGTACATCTGGCTGGTATGAAGTGGCGTTGGGCCGTCAAAGCCAAACTAACGGGGGGAGGGGAGAACAGCTCACAACCTACTTGCACGAACTACCTCGACCGCTCCCCCACATGACAGGCCACGGCGATCACTTGCTGCCAAGCTCAAGGTCCAACCGATCCCGTTCGACGGGAGCCCCAATTCCCTACAGCCTGCAACCGAACCTGGAGCCGGACGCGCCTCCTGTCAAAGTATTGTGGAATCAATGCAACAGCGGCAAGGCGCTTGCGATGATCGTGGTGAGAGGCTTGGCGACGAGTCAAGCGGGTGCGGCATCAATGGTTCCCCTCACGGCACTGCCATTTGTAGCCCATCCCTCGACATACTGACGTACGAGTACCGAGGACCAACGTCGTCAATACCGGAAAATCAGCCGTTACAGTCAACACCGTCAGCCATGGACGTCAGAACTCTTGCTTCCCCTTCGTTGGAGCCGATAGGTGGGACGAAAGTGGCGAAAGGGCATGGTGACTTGGAAATGACATCGGCGACCCTTGGTAGCTCAAGCCGAGGTAAGCAAGTGACCGATGGGGGGACTGCGATGGCGTCGTTCGAAGGTGAAGGCGGGAAGGCCCCAACAAGAAGCAACGAGGGAGCGATATTTCAAAGGAACACAACACACATGCGCGAAACTACGGGAGGTGCTGCTATTGGGTCTGGCAGAGGGTCAGAGGCGGAGGAGGAAAACGAAGGAGAAAACGACCCGCATATAGCGGACGGTAGCGATGCTGGGGGACGCTTTGCTACATGGCCAGCGTCAGAAATGATCAAAGGGGCTAAAACGACATCGACGATGACAAAGCAGGACTTCAGGGACGTGGTCATACCGATGGCCCTTCCCGGGGAGGCACATCAGATGGACTTTGGAGCCGCCGCGAAAGCTGTCGTTCTAGCTTCAGGATCATCCCGGTTCAACGTTTCCAGGTACAACTTGGCTCGGCTAATCTACAATTCTTGGCAGCATCTTTCACCACGACGCCGATACTCGTATACTAAACACCGGAATGCTGTCGGGGAAAGGTTGGATTAGACTGCTCTTCGCTCGTCAGGTACACCAGATGTTGTAGATGAAGGCTGTTGGCAAAATGAACGCGGTCGGCACAACGGTAACTAGGGAACGTGCAGCAACACAGTCATGCTGGACCGACCTGCGGGGATATACTCACTTGGTCAGCATTACCGGGCGCAATGTTTTCTCAAGAAAATCCTGACGCTCGTTTTATTCCGTGCCTAGCCAGCGGTTCAAACAACTCAACCCCCCTTGCGGCTCCGTCCCTGGCATACTCTGACCCCCACGTGGCGCGCTTGGTGGAGGTGGACACACACGAACTACAAAAGAGAGCCCAACGGACCAAGTACAATAACCCCTCTCGTTGTCATGTCCCTGTTCTCAACTTGAACGTAGACGACAGTGTGTCGCGCATTGTGTAGCGCCCCATTCGTTATTTTGCTGCACTTTTTCGAGACCTATGCGTATTCCCTGATGACTTTTCAGGTATGCTCGAGGGAAGGTTTTACCATCGAGAGTTGAGCTCCCTTGGAGGCTCCCGCTGAAACCGCCTTGGCGCACGAAGGATGGCGTCACGTTAGAGGAACAGCGGCCGGATCGATCGGGGGAGAGGCAAGCATGGCAACGATATCGCCATCAGCAACAGCAGCACTGGGACCTACACCACGCGGCCCTTGAGGTGAAACTATCATCAGGTGGAACATTTCCGGAGATTCGGTACTGCGCGGAAAAAAACAGCGATCGGGATGAGAAGAACTGGCTTTAACACTCGGAGGCTTACGAGTGGGATCATTTACCCCCTTGCCGTCCTTTTCCCGAAAGGGGTTAAACAGGGTTTCACGCGAACGATACGCTATACATCATTAGTCAGACCTGGAAAACCTACAGTACCTGAAAACCCCAACTTGTCGCACAGTAATCGCGACTGTCGTAATATCAAACTTTTGATGTCGCAGATTCAACGCGCGTGGCGGGGATACCTCGCTCGGACGGCGTTCTGGACAGAAGGTGGCGTCGGGCTCCACGCGGTTGCCACCAGGATTCAACGGATCTTTCGGGGCTGGCGTGGGAAGGTGCTGCTGGGACTTTCGCCATGCGTTTTTTCCAAGCGGTCTTTGAAACCGAGACCTCAGAGTGCTCCCCATCGTCACGGCTTCCCCTAGTTCGCCTGCTTTGCTTTCTGGAAACCCCTCCAACATTTGTGTCCGTGAGCTGAAGGTCTTCATTGGCATGAACCCGTGGTGCGAACCGCACGAGAGTGGACTAGTTCTAGGTGAAAAGGGCGGGGTTGTTTTTGGTACAACCTCCCCAATAGCACCGGGCGGCGCCAACGCGCCAGCCACTTACCATCGCCGTATGGGCATTAACAGGTCCGTGCCGTGCAAGCCTTATTGGAGAAGAGAGCACGAGCAGCTACGGTGATTACGGCTTTGGGTCGAGGGTTCCAAGGTCGGCAGAAGGCCAGGCGACTACGCGTGAACTGGCACAACGCGGCAGCGGCGAAGATCCAGGGCCACTTCCGAGCACGTGCAGCAAGGAGGTACTGCAGTAAACTCTGTGCATTCAAGGAATCGGTTGGGGCGATGAACTCATATTAATCAATGACATGTGGCACATGTCTCCAACTTTCACTGGTTCAAAATGAACGAAAATTTGGAGTAGCACTGGCACTCCTGAGCGTGGCATCTAGGTCGTCTCCTGCGAACATAAGTTACGGGGCAAGTGTGGCAGCGGCCCTTCAATGAGTGGGGGTACGCGTGCCTGAGCACTGCGTCTCTGATTACCATGGGTCTCTGCCCACAAAGTAGAATGCGTTCCGTACTCGTCGACATCTGCCAAGCGGATGGTCCAGGTTCCGGGCAACGTGAAAGCTATGACGAATCACAACTAAAAAACGACAGGTGGATGGAGCAGCTTCATCTCGTAGCGGCCATTCGGGGGGCGACGCGAGTCCAAGCTGTCTGGAGAGGTTCTTCCGCCAGGAGACGATTCCGCGTGCTCCACTTAGACCAAAGCATGGAAGAGAAGTTTCTCAAAGGTGTGGGGTGGCAGGTTAAACTCCATTGGTCTAGCTAGAACGCTGCTACGGGGGGACGTCTGGACAAGAACAAAAACTAGACGCAAGGTGATGCAGTGGGAGGTGGGTTTGTGCTGTACAGGAATCCAAGACGTGACTAGAAAGCCCATCACTTGTGTTTCTCAAAACGACTTCCGAACTTTCTCGCAAGCCGTTCGAGCAGGCCCACCCTGTCTCGTGCCTACGGGTACACGACACCCCGTCCCGTTTACGGCAGTCAGAAAGTGATCGAGAGTGCTGGAGTTGACCCCAAGTCTCAGCAAGCTTAGGGACGTGTGGGTTGCTTTCTGAAGTGAACCCGGTTCTCACCGTTGTATCGGTGTTTCTTTCCATGCTTCTCCCCAAAACACTGCCCTCTGCTTGTTTCCCCTGAAAAAACTCGGCCCCCTATCACAGCTATATGCCTAGACTACACCGGACGGAAAGGGTGGACTAAGAACGCACAGACGAGGACATCGAGACTTCGTTCAACATCGGAATCGCTCGCCGGCGTGTCGGTCCTCATGCCGGCTTTTCCCGAGGGTGTTGCAGCACGGTTTGATCCTTCAAATCCAAACGGTTTGAAAAAAACGTGTGCAGTTTGTGCAGGACAGCGTTCCCGAAAAGAAAGCCGGATAGCCGACGGAGAAACGGCGCCCAACGAGGCTTCTCCCACAGGAGATATCGCTGCGTGCAAACCAAGAGCTGGTACCATTGGTGGCGACGTGTTTGGCGGCGCCTTTCATTGCCAGCCGCAGCAGGTTCTCCGCTCTTCTCCGAAGGGGTTGCCTCTCCACTGCCACGCAAACGCAGACGGCAGAGTCCCAACAGATTGCAAGACGTGCGCGATTGGTAGTTCTGCTGGTCGAGGTTGCCGTGGCGTCAGAGATCCTCTTGATGCTGGTGGCAGTAGCGGTGGTGGCGGGAATAGTGGTGCTGCTGATAGCCCTGTCGCCCCTGCGGTCCTCGCCATCTCTTGTGTCCGTCCTGGGCCAGCCGCCGAATCTCAAGCACTACTGTCCGATCGGTATTTCGTCGCTTATGGACACTGTCTACTTGTCGGCGCGGGTAGTGGAGCCCTCGACGAGGCGGCGGAGGAAGCGGTAGCAGAAGGGTGTCCGGGTGGAAACGGAGGCCTATCGACAATTCAAGACTTTGGTGGCGCCAGGGCTAGGGCACGGATCCGTGAAAAGAACAGAACCAGGGGATACGGCGATGCTCTGGAGGTTTTCCTGGAAGGGCTTCGGCGTTTTCCGAAATCGGCGGCCTTACTCTACGGGGCTTCTTTAGCCATGCAGGCGAGCACACGTAGTTGCTGAGCACCAATCATCTTTGTGGCCGTGGAAGAATGCAGCGGTACGGTGCCGCCCAGTCTAGACCTACTCGTGCTTGGCGTACAACCGACACGAATTGGGTAAGGCGTGCCTCATCCTGAACGCACATAATTGTATTGTGCGCTACGTTTCCGATCATTGCATAACATTCGAACAGGCGACATGGTTCACCGACGGCCGTGGCGCCGCTCCAACAGAGGCCATGCTCGAGGCCTCTTTTTGCCTCCTCGCCCAAGCTTGGGCCCAGGATCCCGACAGGCGGGCCTACCAAGAGGTGGGAAACGCTCTGTGCTCGTAAACGTCCAAGGGTGTCGCATCGCTTTGTCGTTCTCTGCTCTACTTCTCTCAATCGCTCTCTCCCTCTCTCTTTCTCTCCGGTGCTTCCTCTCGCTTTTCCTCTTTTCTCATACACACAAGCAAGTGCGCTTTTCGATGACAATGCTTGCACATTGGCCACGAGCAGGCTACAGGACCAAACGATGAAATGCTTGTTTTCTCCTTGGATCATGAAGAGTCCCGCATTCCATTCCTGCAACGTTGGCAGCGCTACACCAGATATTCGTACGAATGGAGAGTATTGGCGGCTGCACGTCACCGCCGGCGACGTGTTTATGCCATTGAACCATTCATCGAAACAATAAAAAACTTGTTCTGCATGTCACGTTTCGACGCTGGTGATCTTCAATGTTCGTCAAAGGTGGAAGCGTACTTCTTGGCCGCGGCTAGGATAGCAAGGAGACGTCTGTTGTTTGCAGAGACACAAGCAGCGGTTGGACGAGAAGCCGCGTTTGCCGAAAAGCGAAACACCAAAGAGTTGAGCGCCAAAGGCGGTGCAAAGAACGGATGCAAGGGCGCAAGGGGGGGGCTTACTCAAAGACTTGCGGGAGGATCGGGAGGCGAGGGAGAGCAACAGGCCGATGACGAGCAGGTGGAGCAGAAAGACAAAAAGGTTCGCACCTCATGCTGTCCAACCCTATCGATGAACAACCTCTCAAGCTCCTGTCGATATACAATGGTTTTTACGGTAGCGTATATGCAGGAGTGAAGCAGCACGTGGAGATTAAACGAGCGACGTGCGCCACATTGAAGGATCGTGTGACAGAAAAGCGAGAGTTGCAAGCGTGGCTTTATCCGGCCGATGCGTCGTCACATGAAACCTCCTCAAAAGGCGCACAGCACTCACTGTGCCGATTGTCCTTGCTTTGATCCCCACCAACAGATACAAAAGGTTGGGCGCGAGGAAGAGGAGGACGAAGATGAGCCCGAGGATGTCACCGTTTGCAGAAAGGCAGCTGCGGTCGCCACGTTTCACGTCGCGCTTTGGAGCCAAATCGCGAACGGAAATCACGACATGGATTTAAGAAGGTACTCGAAGATTCGCGGCAGGCTAAATAGGACTTGTGTCGAGGAGGACTGAACGAAACCATTGATGACTCATATCTATTCTTTGGTTTCAAACGAACATGGTGCGCACGATGCAATATGACGAAAAGCAAAGACGTAGTAACGGAACTTGGAGAGAACGGCAGCGTTCGGACCCCAACAGCTCTACCGGGCGAACGGTGGCAGTGCACAGAAACGGTAGCAGAAGCCTTTTGCACTATTGCTGCTTTGAAGTTGCGTAAACGTCGCTCCAGACACAACCACTGCCCTTCAATGGGGACTGGAAAGGGCATCCGGGTCGTGTTTTGCAGCCTTTTGCCCGCCTTGTTCCTAAGCAACGAAGAGAGCACAAGGTCTGAAGTCGTGTACTCATATAGCCCCCCCCGTAATGCTCTCAGCAGAATTTCGGGTTGGAGCCATCAAACCGAGTAGTTCGCTTACCCCTTTTCCCCACCCAATGACACTCTTTTACCCCGACGGCGAGCAGGTCGGAGACGTTGGCGGCATACCGACGCACGGAAAGGCTTTTCTCGAAAGCAAGGCAACTGGACACCTCTTTTGAGCTGCCAGAGGTGTGTTTGTCTATCAGTTGCAAAGTGTTCAAACACGGGGGTTGCGAACGGCTGCCGCCGATATCTGCTCCCCATCCTGGTCTCAATACCATAGTCGCGCCGAACGAAAACATATTTTTATAATCTGGAATAAGAGCAAGCCTCCAAAGGTGAGTATTCCGCGCAACATGATTGCGAATGAGCCGCGTTGTAAAAACAGGGTCATTTCACAAGCACCGCGGGTATGACGTACGCAATCAAAGCAGGCTTTACCTTGCCGACCGCAAGAACCAGACCGGATCCTCAGAGTGTGTCATCCTGCCATTTGCCAGGGCGACTCTGATCTACTTGCCCTTCCTCTTGGCATAACAGCAAACACTGTTTCCGCGCAACACTATTTTTTCTTGCTCGAAATTTCACAGGTGACACCCTACCGTTCTCGTATTATGTGCTGACTTTGACAGATCAAAGCTTCCGAGCGTGTGTTCAGCTCCTTCTATCGGGTTCGATCAAGGCTGTTGACGACCTGCCGTCTGCGTCTCAAGCTCCCGCCACACCCGGAACCTTCTACAACCGAGAAGGGCGAGAGTGCTGGGGACGAGACATCTACTCCTCGAGGGTTGTCTGGTTTGCCGGCTCATCCTGCTGCACGGTCTCTACAAGACCAGCAGCAGCAACGGCTGCCGCAGCCGACGGAGGAACAACACCAGTGTCAAAACCTAGACGAACAGCACATTCAGCACTTGCACGAACAAGACCGGCAAGTGCAACAGCACGAACAAGGGCAACGCCAACAACAGCAAGAGCCGGAACAACAGCAACACCAAACGAAGCAGCAACAGCAGCTCCTAAAATCCATCCTTGTCGACACCCCTCTCGGAAAAATGTTGAGCCCTTCAAGTTCAAAGCGGCCTCATGTAGCCCGGCGGATCACGAATCGGGTCGTCACCGCTGTTCGCGAGGGAACTAAGATTTTCTTGCGGATTAGCCCCAGGAGCAGTCCCAGGAGCCCAAGAGCTGCTTGTCCATTTATGTTGGAAGCTTCTAGAAGCGATGCGGGCGGCAAGACACCCGCATATCAGTCGCCGGAGGAACAAGATACGCCCCAGCACCCCCGGCAGGAACTCGGATCTGGGGAAATTCTCCAGGATTCGGGACAACGCGCCGGTAGTGATGGCGGGGGCCTAGAGAAAGCGGCGGTAGAGGGAAGCGTGTCGAAGTTGCCAATTTCGCAGGCTGAGGTACGGATTTATTTCGCTTTTCCATGCATTGAATATATTTCCCGACGAACGTGGGGAAGCCTTGACAATGCGAATTAAACGCCTTTGAACGGATCAGGGTTAGCAAACCACAAGTGGGCTGTGTGCGGTATTCCCCGACGCACGAGGGCGTGCAAACGTTTCAGCTTCTAGCGTATACTCCGGGTGAACATAACAGATGACTATATTTCTGGCGTCGATCTCGGAGGTTAAGAAAACATCCCATCTACACGAAGTCCCGCACACTCGGAGGTGTGGGAAATGACGCTCGGGGGTTAGCATGCTTCAGCCTTCTTCGGCCCTGCAAAATGATTTTTCCTGTGCCACATATAATGTTCAAACCATGGCGTATAGCTTGGACATGCTCACCAGCGAGGACGACGTCGTCAAGTCTGTATGTCGACCCTGCATATCGCATCACGGGTCTCCCGGTGTGGTCATCGCGTCGAAGGATGCACATGTATTCACGAGGGAGAACTCGGGCGTGCGGTAT